CTAGGTTGCTTCCATCTCTTAGCTATTGTGAAAAGAGCAGCAACAAACATGGATGTACAAGTGTCTCTGCAATAAGACGAGTTCTTTGGGTATATGCCAAGGAATAACTTTGGACTTTATCCTGTAGGCTGTGGAGAGCTGTTAAAAGTTTTGGTATGGAGAACTGAAATAAAGGCAGGGTTTTACCCCTGGCCTAGAGCCTGTAGGCTGTCAGAAGAGGTGAAGGTAGGCAAGGCATGCCAACTGATGAACTGTTGCAGAGAGGTTCTAGCTGCAGGTTAGAGGCAGAGTAAGAACAAACTTGGCAAAGATGACTTGAGGAGGGGATAGGTATCTTTAAATCCTTAAATGACAGAGATCAGGGACAGCTGATAGAGATGAGGCTATCAAGGCAGAAACAAACATTTCTGTGGAAAGTGAATGGTTATTTTAGGACATTGTTGACACACTGGTTCTTTCTTGACTGCACATTAGAATCAGCTGGGGACCCTGAAAAATTACTGCTTCTGATTTACTTGCTCTGGGGTGTAGTTTGGGTGGTATAGGTTTGTTGTCATTTGTTTAACTTCCCAAATAATTCTGATGTGCAGCCAAGGCTGAGAATCCCTGGGTCCTAAGCTTGCAACTACAAGTATAGTCTGGAAACCTGTTAAAAATGTAAGCTCTCAGGGCTGAAGAGACGCTGAGCAGTTGAGAGTACTGACTGCTCTTGCAGAGGACCCAGGTTCAATTCCCAGCACCCACATGAACCGTCCTTAACTCCAGTTCCAGGGGAATCTGAAGCCCTCTTCTGACCTCCACAGCATTACACAACATGAGTGCACTCACATGCATACAGGCAATACACTCATACACCTAGAATAAAAATAATTTTTTAAAAAAAACAGCATTAAAAATGTAAGCTCTCAGGCTCTACACTGACCTACCAAAGTAGGTCTGAATTTTAGCAGTCCATCCAGGGAGTTTGGTACTAACATTGGAAGAGCTTGAGCTCGCAAGAAGGCCACTGGAAGTGATTCAAGGGCTGAGGAAATGCCTGCGCAGGAGCTGTTTGTTGTTCAGATGAAGAAGTGGCATTCAAACCTTTTACCATGTGTGTTCACAGGAGAGCTTCTTAGCTCCAGTATTCACAAAAGAGGAACAAAAGCACAGACATCCCTATGAGTTTGAGGTGGAGAGGGATGCCAAGGCTCGGAACCTAGAACAGTACTCTGCCACCCATGGGCACTCCCCCATCATCCTCAATGGCTGGCATGGGGAGTCAGCTATAGACCTCTCCTGCTCATCAGAGGGGTCCCCAGGAGCCACATCCCCTTTTCCAGTGAGCGCCAGCACCCCTAAGATTGGGGCTATCGGTTCACTTCAAGGCGCCCTCAGCATGGACTTGTCTGGGATTCTGCAAGCTGGCCTAATCCACCCAGTGACTGGACAGATTGTCAACGGAAGCCTCAGGAGAGACGATGCTGCCACAAGAAGGCGGAGAGGGAGACGGAAACATGTTGAAGGAGGGATGGACCTCATCTTTTTGAAGGAGCAGACACTTCAGGCAGGAATCTTGGTAGGTATATGAGGCCACTGAGTAAAAACCATTCTACATTAGAGAGGTTTATTCCTCAGACACCAAGTTTTTTCTTTATGGCTCTTTTATGCCTGTTTCAGTTGTTGTTCTTGTTTGCTGTCATTATAAAACGCCCTTCATCTTTTCTAGAATAGATAAAACTAGCCCATTGATGGCCCTTAATCTGCATGCAGCCTGGAGAATCGAGTCAAAAGGTCTTATTTCCCAAATCCTCCAGAAGAGGAAGAGCCACGACAGTTGGTGGGCAAGGCCGTGTGACAGGCAGCATCTCTCCACAGGGTGAGGCTCTCAGGAGCTGAGGTGTAGGTGAGGGAAGATCAGTGCTGGCTCTAGCACTTGGCACACCACCAAGCTGCACTCAGCTCCCCTGTAAAGCTACTGCAGATGGTTACTGTTGAGGAGTCCCACAGATCACACTGTGACAGTACATCCTAAAGTCAAAGGAGAGACGTTGTAAACAATGGAAGACAGCAAGAGAAATCCTCTTTAGACTTTGCTTAGTGCTGAATGTTGTGTTTGAGTTTTCTCACTTTTTGAATCTTGACTCCTGAAAAAAGCACATTTCATGTTTTCGTATTTTAAAAAGAATAATATTATTTACTGAGCGCCTGTTGTATACCACCTGCTGTGTTCAGGATCTTTCATAATTGTCCTGTTTGATCCTTACAAGAACTTTGTAAAAGATGGCTATCTGAAGCTTAAAAAGCATTTTAAGATTGCCACAGTCAGGTACAGTGGCCACGCCTTTAACCCCAGTACTGGGGAGGCAGAGGCAGGCAGATCCGTGGGAGATTGAGGCCAGCCTGGTCTACATAGCAAGTTCCAGGCCAGCTGGGGCTACAGGAAGACTCTGTCTCAAACCCCAATCAGAGCCGGACGTGGTGACACACGCCTGTAGTCCCAGCACTTGGGAGGCAGAGGCAGGCCGATCTCTGTGAGTTCAAGGCCAGCATGGTCTACATAGTGAGTTCCAGGACAGCTGGGGCTATAGGGAGACCCTGCTTCAAAGAGACAAAAAAAAAAAAAAAACCAACATTGAATGAATTAATAGTGAGCTGTATCATTTGGCCTATGTCTTCTGCTCAGATTTATGTATTATTTGGGAAGTTGACGTGACAGGGTTTTTTTTCCTGTCCAGTCCTACAAATTGATTTTTCATTTTTTTTTTCATTTTGATATTCTGACATTTTGGTTGTATCCTAACTCTTTTTTGAGAGGGGGTGGGATCTCACAGTATTCTTCAGGCTAGCCTCAAACTTCTGGGCTCATTTGAACCTCCTCTTAAGCCTCCTGAGTCAGTGGAACAACATTGGAATCAGCTGGGACCCTCAAAAGCTACTGGTTCTTATTTCATTGGTCTGGGGTGTCTACCACCACACCTGGTTCCTACAAGCTAATTGTGTGTGTGTGTGTGTTTACATACATGCATGGAAACCAGGAGACACCTCAGATGTCATTCCTCAGGTCTGTCCAACCTTTTGTGTTTTTGAGACAGAGTCTCTCACTAGCCTGGACACTCACCATTTAGGCCAGGCTGGCTGGACAGTGAGCTCCAGAGACCTATCTTTTTTCACATTTGCCCAGCACAGGGATTATAAGTATGTGCCATCACACATGGGTTTTTTTACATGGGTTCTGGGGATCAAACTCAGGTCTTTGTGTGTACAAGGCAGTGTACTGACTGGCCCATCTCCCTAGGCTCCCTAAGTGCTGAGAGTGAGCTAGCCCAGCTGTTAAAGGCAGGTACTCCTCTTCTAGAAATATAAAGCAGTGCTTTTCCAATATTGCTCATAGAACTCCAGTGGAATGACTGAAAAAATATTTATAGGCTGGAGAGATGGCTCAGTGGTTAAGAACACTGGCTATTCTTGCAGAAGACCTGGGTTCGAATCCCAGCACCCACATGGCAGCTAACAACTGTCCATAATTCCAGTTCCAGGGGATTTGACAGCCTCTTCTGTTCTCCGTGGGCATTGCACGACCCAAGTGTACTTACCTGCATGCAGGCATAACACTCATACACATAAAATAAAAATAATAAATTTAAAAAAGAATGTTTGAAGAGAGTGAACTCAAGTGGGAAGGGTGAGCTTGACTTATAGTATTGAGAGGTTGTAGCTGCCATGTGAATGGAGATCAGCTCCTTCCCATAGGGTGAGTCCAAGGGAAGGTGATGGCCATACGTCTCCTTCTTGGTGGCCGGGAGGAGACAAGTCAGGATGGGACTTAGGTGTGGTTTGGCTGTATGTCGTTTTTTTCCCTTCCTTTCCCCCCACATTTACTGAGGTATGTATGATAATTGACATAATAAGGCTTATATTTAAAATGTGAAATTTGAACAGCTTTGACATATGTGGAAAAACCAAGATAATGAACATACCCATCACCTCAACCATTTCTCATATCTTCTGTAATCCCTTCACCCCCTACTCCACCTCCCCAGGCAACCATTGATCTGCTTTCTGTCACTGCAGTTTACATTCTTCACAATTGTTCCATATGAAGTGATATCTATGCATTAACTGACATACACACACTCACACTATAGGTCATAACTCCAGTTCCAGGAGATCTGACAGCCTCTTCTGTCCTCTGTGGGCATTGCACAACATGGGTGTACTTAACCTACATGCAGGCAGTACACACACATAAAATAAAAATAAATAAAATATTTTTTTAATATTTATTTTCTTAGCCTCTAGGTAGTTTTTAAATTGGTCAACACATTGATACAGTGTTTTATCATTAGACCCATTATTGGTGTTGGTTATTCGGGGATGAATAAGGTAAAGATTCAAACCATAGAGGAGGAACAGGTAAGTAAGCCCTACAGTGTTCTCTGGAATGTGAGAAAGCTGTGAGCAGAATGGAGGGGGTGGGGGTGGGGGTGGTGCTGCTGCGGACACTGAACGATGACAACAGAGGAATAGGCAGAGTCAGAGCAGTTAGATAGAGGTCCAGTCTGCTCAGTAGATGAGGAGAGGGGCATGGTGGAGAAAGCATCTGGCATGCATATCAGCAGTAGTGAGCCAGCAGTGTGGAGAGTTGTAATTCCAGCACCCAGTGGTGGGAATCAACAGAAAAGCCAAAGAATACCCACATGTTCTAAGTGAACCATTATTGCTGTTGCTAATACAGAGGTGAGTGTTTTGGTAACTGCTTTTCATCCTGCCATGATTACACAGACTCATTTTCCTTAATCCAGGAAGTCCATGAAGACCCAGGGCAGATCACTCCAAGTACCACACATCCTCAAGGACCAGGAACTGCTACCTTAGGCCCTGAGCCAACAGCAGCACCCAACAACCAGGCTGAGAAAGCTGTTCCCAGCAAGAGCCTACTCGAGTGGTTGCGGCAGCAGGCTGACTACTCCTTGGATGTTCCTGGCTTTGGGGCAGTAAGTGTTGCTTGGTGCATGAGACCATGGTGCTGTTGGCTTGAAGCAGGTTTGGGTCAGCATGTGCTGCAGGAAGCTAGAAGGTAGAGGCTATTTAAAAGAAATCTGTGTTGACTAAGAACATCATTTTAAATATGTTTTTGTTTGAGGTTTTGAAGTTCTGGTTACATCCTCCATTAATAGAAATTACAAGAGTATCAAGAAGTGAACACACAAAATCTTACAAGGACCTGGCATCAGTACTACCCACTCCCAATTCCCCAGAAATCACCACACAGTTTCTTAAGTTCACAGAAATCTTTAGGTTGTATAAACTACCACTTGATGAAGATTGTCCCAAGTTAATACATTACTACTACTGCAGGGGGCTATATTCCTAGTTTACAGTGATTGCCTTGGGGCTTTTCCTTCAGATCATCTGACTGCCTTTTCTCTAGGCCCTTCCCGTTAGAATTCTGTTGGAGGACTCCTGAGCACTGATACTTTGTCTTGATTGTTCTTTTCTCACTTGCTCATACACCCCACCCCATCCATGTCCTGAGCACACCCGACAAGGTGTATAGACAGAGGGTAGACAGGAAAGAAGAAAACAGATTCATGGGTGCACACTTACACAAGACAGACAAGACCAGCTAGCTGGGTACCAGTGAAGAGAGAATCTTAGAAGGTTAAGGATTGATTCTGAAGTTCCCTGGGAAGCTGGTAGATCAGATCAGCTCCAGTCAGGGGCCTAGAGCCCACACAGCATGTTTTCCAGTTTGCTTTGAAAGTTCTGGTACCTCAAGGAGAGAGCCCAAAGCGAGGGCTAGAGGTAGAGTCTTGTGTACAGCTCGACTAGCAAGAAAAGAACAAAACCAACTGAAAAGCACCACCCCACATCAGACCTCACAACAGAATGTTTTGTAACATTTTTTTTCCATTTACCTGCTAGAGTTTTTCAGATAAACCCAAGCAAAGGAAACCACGCTGCAAAGAACCTGGGAAATCAGATGTCAGCTCTCTGAGTGGAGAAGAAAGGGTCCCTGCTGTCCCCAAGGAGCGAGGACTGAGGGTAGGAAGAGGGCCTTGGGTGTGGGAGCAGGGGAGCGTCCTGGTTGAACCTTGGCTTACGGGCTTGAAAGAAAGCCCCAGCTGAGAAGTGGGCAGCACAGGAAGTTGGATCCACAATAAGTGGTGCCTCGGACATTGTTGAGAAGTAGTGTGTCTCCTGAGACCATGTTTTCCATCTTTACATCCTAAACAATTTGTTAAACCACTCCAGAATCTGTCATTTCTTTTCCTATTTGTACAGTTCTAAGGGATAAGAAATCTTAACTCTCGACAGCAGTGCATCCAGTGTTCAACAAATGCCATTATAGAGATTTTCATGTCTTGCCTAAGTTTTTAACAGCCATTTAAGACATTTCTTCCTAATGGTTCCACACTGGCAATGAAAAACAGCTGACTCCAAGCACTGTCCTTTCCTGTTATAGAATCATGAGACTGGAAACAACTTCAAAGCCATCTGCAGAATACTTGGAGCCTTACAAATCCGAGTTAATTATAGTTTGCAGATGGGTACAAGTTTGGAGCAGACAAGTCATCACCTCTAGGGGGCAGCAGTGGCATTTCCCTCAAAAAAATTGCCGAGGGCACTTTGTGGGGTCATCAAGTTGTCACTTCCTCAGATGCATCCCTGAGAGGAGCTTCTGAGAAGTTCCATGGGGACATTTGCTTTTCCAAGCTGTTCCATAAACTCAAGCTGTCCTGAACACGCTCCAGGTAGGCCGGCTGCTGCATTTCCTGCATCCTCCTCCTCCTCGGTAGGATTGCCAGAGTGTAAATTCTTATTTTAACTGCAAAGACTACCCCCCGAATCATTTCCTCTTTGTGCAGAAAGGCATTGTCACTGGGCTCTGTCACTCACCAGCAGCTCCACAGACAGCTGCTTTCACTCATCTGCATCTGCTGCCGCCACCACTCGAAGGGAAGCCTGCCCAGTGCCCCGAGTCTATCACGTTGGAAAAGCTGCCCTGCTCCTCCCCTGCTCCTGTTCTTGCTTTATTCTCAGAAAGTGTCGTTACCAGCCTTCTCCTGGACCTCCTTAGGTTGTGCAAGCTGATCCACCTTCTGTTTTTAATCCATTGGTTTTGCCCAGCTTTCCCCTTCTGAGTGTCTTGGTAAGGTCATCAGGTAGAGACCTCCATTTCCTGCCTTACTGTGGGTCCCTGTGCTCTTGGTTTAGACTTACCATAGGCCTTCTTACTCCTCTCTCCATGTCCAACAATTTCTCTCATGCTCCCTGAATTAATGGTCATTGATTCTCTGCAAGCACTGATCCCTTGCCAGAAAACATACTTCTGAATTGGTCTTGCATTCCAGCCTCTTCTCCATGATGTATCTCCTTTCTTTGTTGACTACATTCCTCATGCTGAGATAAGAACAGGAAGCTCTTGTCCACCTGGTCCTTAGGGCTGTGTGTCTCCTGCAGGTCTCCCTGTGGGCTCTGTCTACCCCTTCTCTTCTAAAGAAGCTCATGCACCATTCAAAGCGATGAAACAGAAGCCTTATAAACAACAAATTTCTCATAGTTCTGAAAGCTGAGAAGCCCAAAGTCAAGTTTCTAGACCAGGCCCAATTTTCACAACCATCTTCTTGCTGTATCCTTAAAGTGAAGAAGGAACAAATGACCTCTCTGAGATCTCTTATGAGGGCATAATCACATAAGGAGCTGGCCCCATCATCTCATCACTCCAGGGCCCTCATTGCCCCACCTTTGGGAGTTGTATTTTAACATACAAAGTCCATGGTAGAAACCCTCCCCTTTCTAAAAATGGATTAAAACCCCACTGGAAACTCCCTCCTTCCTTTGAGCTCAGAGTCCTGTGTGTGCCAGGTTTGCCTGAATGAGGTCCACATAACACAAGCTGCACAGAGCAGTAGGACACAGCTCTATAATGTCCAAGACATAGTGCTTGCTTATTGGCAATATGTATACACACACATTTAATAGAGAGTTTTTGATTGATTGTTGCAGATAGAATATATCGCTCCTAAGTTCTTCCGCACACATTCTCTAAAAACTCTTCCCTCCTAAATACTGCCATTGTCCACCCGTGAAATTAATAAGATATGCTTTCAGATTCATTAGTCATTCCAAAAATATCTCACAGAGCTGGCATTGTTCTAGTTTGCTTTGCTTTGCTTTGCTTTGCTTTGCTTTGCTTTGCTTTGGAGATTTCTAAACAGGAACTTAACCACGTTACATTTGGTTACTAGATCTCATTTTCCTCAGTGTTTCTTGGAGAAGCCGCCTGATTTCTGGAAGAGGAGGAGCCTCAGTCATCTCCTCCTGTTGCTTCTTCCCGGGTATCTTAGAACTGCAGCAGATGCTCTCATGTACAGATGAGGCTGTTCCTGGGTCGGGGGTGCCATGCAGTCACCCAGAGAGCAGCTTTGCTTCTGTGTTGCTTGCACACAAGGAGTCTGCTGTTCCTTGCTCTTTCTGCCCGCTTTCCAGGCCTCCCCTGGAAGAGGAAGCAAGTTTGTTCCCAGGGTATAATTATCAGGAGGAGAGCTGCCAAAGCTCAATTTGGCCACTGTGTGTGTGGTCACAGAGCTGCTGGGAGGGGCACCTGCATTGGGTGGGCAGCAGCTGGGTGGCTGGAGTGGGCCTGTTCCACAGGAAGTGGTGAGTGCTGACTTCCTCCTCTACCAGTGCTCCTCTTGCTACACAGTAGGTGAACTGTTCTCTTCACCCTGGGCTCTTCTGATGCTGCTCTCCAGACCTGAGAGAGAAAGACCAGCCTCCACCTTCCTCTACAACTCCCATTTCTGAGAGGGCCCAGTATCTTTAGACATCCTGGTGCTCGAGAAGCCTTCTGTACATCTAGTGGGCAAGACCAGGGAGGCCAAAAGTCTTAAATGAGTTGCATAGTTCCAGATGCCCTGACAAGGAACTCAATTTAATCATGGTAAGGGTCTGACTTAGAGCGGATTATTAGAAAAGTGCTGAACCTGTTTTCATCTCAGTAGAAAGACTTTCAAAGTGGAATGTGCCCTCCTAATGGAGAGTGATAGAAGAGTTAGAATATGTGTGTGGAATAAAGGAGACGCCCCAGCACCTTTCCCTGGCTCTTATCTGTGGGTGGACTGAGAAAAGAGGCCCCAAAGAAGCCTTGAAATGCAGTTGTGCTTACCAGGCAGGATCGTGAACAAGCAAGGAACCAAGCCTATCATTCAGGCTTTACTGGCTCCATTTAGAAATAAACAGCCAAATGAATGTCCCAAACCCAGAGTGGGCACTTGCCCAGCACATTCCAGGACAAACCAGCCTGGCATATTGCCAGTGTCTGGTTCTGTTGGGAATTGAGGCACATGGTATGGTATGAAAAGAGCCTGGGCACTCCCCTACTCTGCCCTACCAGCTGTGCCACAGGTTAGTCCTTGCTTCTCAGTTTTGAATGAGAAGGGGACCTAACAAAACTGTTGAGATTTCTTCCAGCTTTGTGATTCTAAAGTAAGGCTTTTTGAAGAATTCTCCCAGAGTTGCCATCATAAAGATTTTGTCCATGATAACTGTTTTTTCTGGAATAACCTTTTGGAAATTGATGGACAAATGTAGTACTTCAAAAATGGCCATCTCTGGGGACTCGGGAACACTTGAATTGCATGTCTTTGAGTTGTAAGTTCTCTAGGAAGCAGCTGTGATCATACTGAACGTTACACTGAGCGTGTAACGATTAGTTGAGTTGAGATGATGGAGCCCTTGGATTGAGGCCTGGCATGTGATAGATGCTTCATAGTGACACTGAGTTTCTGCTGCTGCTCTTCTGTCATGGCCACCCCTTCCTGAGCATCCTAAAATGCTGGCCACTCCCGTTGGGGAGGTGGCTGCATCTAGGGCCTTCTCTTGGAGCCTACCACTCCTGTCTTCACAACTCCCTGAGCCTGAAACCATGTCACCAACAGCCCATGACTGCTCTTAAAGCAGAACTCCATGGAGTATTGTGGTGGTTTTGTTCTTTAAAATAGAACTAGGAGAAGAGAAACGGGAAAAGCAATGGGAAATGCCAGAGCTGAGCTAAAGTTCCTTACAGCAGTCTTGGGAAGGTTGGTAAACCAAATTTTTTAAACTGTTCAGGAACCCAGTTCCCAGGCTCAGATATTCTGAGCTTCCCTGACTTCTCTCCATGTCCCAGTGCTCCAGACCCTAAGACTAGGGCTTCTCTGGCCCTTCTGGGGTGCCTTGGTGAGGCTGACACCTCCTTTTGTATCCTTTTCTACTCTGTTGACAAGTGAAGCCAGGTCACTTCTTAGACAGAAGCTCAGAGCCCAGCTGCTCCCCAGCAGGTCTCACTCCAGACTTTCAGGAAGGGAAAGCATTTGCACAGTCCTGAAAAGGCACCAGGTCCTAATCATAGAGACGTTGGGCTCAACCACACAGATGGCCAAATGGGCCCCATCTCATGCTGCACTGCAAGCTCTGCATTCTAGCCTTAATGGTAGCTTGTGTCCCCATTACAAATTGTGTCACATGACCTATCATGGACATACCAATCTTCCTCCTTTCACACTTGCTGGAGTTGAAGGAAATCAGTAAAATTGATGCCAGCTTTGTGACAGGACTGTAGGAAGAAGATGCAGGACAGTGGGGCCTCTTCAGCGTGGGTAGGAAGGAGCAGGTGCCTGCACAGAAGGACTTTTCTTTGTACTCCCCCTCTCTATGAGAAAAGACTGAGACTGAGATCTGTATTGATAAACTAACAGAACAGTGAAAGTGGAGACCAAGAAGTATGTACAGTTGTCCGTGAGCTAGGGATTGCAAGTAGTAAATTGTAAAAGACCCTCCTTCCTGTGAAGCCATTGTGATTTCAGTAGCTTATGTAATTACTTCTCCACAGCCCGACCATGTGCCCCCAAGGAGCACTGCATCCTCATAGGCCTGCAGCTGAAGGAGAGTGTGAGCTTCAGCGTCTACCTCCTTCATAAAGCAGTGTGCTCTCCTGTGATTCTCTGATGAGACTGTTCGTACAGTACCAGATGACATTGTGAGCCATGTGAGCCTAAGTGTTGACTGTGACTCTTTGGTACTTTAAAAAATTGGAGGGACCTTCAGAGAAGAACAGGAGAGGTCTTCCCTAAGGGAAAGCAGAGCTTCACTTACTCGGGTGGCATATCCACAGCAGTGTTCAAGATCCTTCATTTCTACAGCCCATTCAAGTAAAGCTCTTTGGGGATTCAGAGGCGAGTGGGACACACACACACACACACACACACACCCATACACACACCCATTTCTACAGCCTGTTCAAGTCAAGCTGTTCGGGGATTCAGAGGCGAGTGGGACACACACACACACACACACACACCCATACCTATTTCTACAGCCCATTCAAGTCAAACTATTTGGGGATTCAGAGGCGAGTGGGACACACACACACCTATTAACATACAGTGTCCCTAACAAGCACTCCTTTCTATGGGGTGGGCACACTCAGGCCTTTGTGATTCCAAAACCCCATACAGCATACTTTGCTGCTTCAATACAAACATCCCTGTGTTGTGAGGAAGGTGATAACAGTCTTGTTCTGGTGAAAGGATCATGACCATAAGAGTCTCTCTAAGACCTGGGGAGTCTTCGGTACTGGTCCCTAGCTCCCAGCCCTGCCAGCTTCTCACACAAAGGAAACTACTCTAGCCAGTAAGGGTGTTGGAAGTACTGTTTGATGACAACAGGCATCTGGTGCTTCCTTGCCAGCAGATGTTCTCAGTCTCTAGGGGAGAAACCCTGAGCCTGTGGACAGGAGATGCTCTTTCACTGGGGCCTGTTGTAGAACTAGGGACCAGCTTGGCTATTGCACAGCCACAACCACCACACCCATCGACCAACTGCCACCCAGTAATGTTCAGCATCCTGTTTCTTTGTCTTTTTTCAGGGGTTTCTCCCAGAAAGCAAATTCAATCACACCCTGACTGAGCCTGTTCTTAGAGATGCAGGCACCCGCAGGAGGGGGCGACGGCCTCGGAATGACCTCCTGAAAGCTCCCGCCATTGTGACAGACTCTCCCTCTGGAATGGGACCACTCTTCATGAATGGGCTGATTGCTGGGATGGACCTGGTGGGATTGCAGAATGTGAGAAATATTCCAGGCATCCCTCTCACAGGGCTGGTGGGTTTCCCAGCCAGCTTCGCCACCATGCCTACTGGCGAAGAGGTCAAAAGCACTCTGAGCATGCTGCCCATGATGCTGCCAGGCATGGCTGCAGTGCCCCAGATGTTTGGTGTCAGTGGACTCCTCAACACACCCATGGCAACTACCTGCGCTTCCACTGCATCGGCGTCTCTCTCAAGCACAACGAAAAGTGGTACAGCAGCCACTGAGAAGACTACAGAGGACAAGCCGAGCAGCCATGATGTAAAGACAGACACGCTTGCCGAACACAAGCCTGGTCCTAGTCCATTTTCTGATCAATCTGAACCCACAATAACTACTAGCAGTCCTATGGCTTTTAACCCGTTCCTCATCCCGGGAGTATCTCCTGGACTCATCTACCCATCGATGTTTCTCTCCCCTGGCATGGGCATGGCTCTGCCAGCCATGCAGCAGGGCAGACACTCAGAGATGGTTGGTCTGGAGAGCCAGAAGAGGAAGAAGAAGAAAACAAAGGGGGACAACTCCAACCCTAACCCAGAGCCTGCCTCTGCGTGTGAGAGGGAGCCAGGCAATGATCAGAACTGCACCGAACCCAGTACCCCGTTGCCCCCAGAGAGAGAACATGTGGCACAGGCTGGGGAAGAGGGGCTGAAAGACTCCAACAACGACACCAATTAGAACTTTTTCATTTAAGAAATTGTTGTGACTTGTAAGTTTCTTATCCATAAAGGTTTGTTACTTCCCTCACTTCAGCTTCATAAGAACCTGTGTTTCCATGAGTACAATGACCCACCAATTTCCTGTCCGAGAACTATGGTAACAGATGTTAGTAGTTGCAGGGTCTTGCCACTTCATTAGATAAGTGTCGTCTACCTAGTCTAGGAGGCACAGAATTCTTTCTTTCTGTTACACGGTTCATTCCAGCAATCACAGTTGATACAATACTTGGTGACACACTCTACCCCTCTTCTTCCCAGATTCCCATTGATCTGAAGAAGAAAATGGCAAAAGAATGCTGTCTAAGGATTCGCTGTAGGGCTGAGAAACAGGCGAGAGAGCTCTTCTCTGTGAGCTAGGTCCAATAGGAAGAATGGATTGAGGAAACCAAAAAGCACAGAATAGGAAGTGCTGGTGTGTTTTTAAGTGTGTCCTGTTTTATCATGATTACTAAGTAGTGTAGTCTGAAGTATATAAACTAATGGTTGAAAATGCACATACTGATTTCTTCTTAAAAGCAGGAACCTTCCTGATAGTAATATAGTTCCCCCCTCGTGGTTTTTCCGACACCCACAGCAAGAAGAAATACCGGCCAACTAGGCAGTATGGAGTATGCATATCCTCCTCCCGCTAAAAGATGACTCCGAGTCAGAGATAGCTTCCCACACCGACATGAGGGAGGGCAAGGGCTCACTGTGGAGCCGCACGCTGCTCACTGGCACTGCTCGCACCTTAGCTGCCAACAGCTTCTCTAGCCACTCATTTGCCTCTTTGTGTTTAAGGAATCCTACTGGGTTTTTATTTTGTACCCTTTCACCCCAAGTCAGGCTTTCTGGAGCCTGTGAGAAGGTACCACTCAGGACTTGCTGGGTTCTGCCATCGGGTGGAGGTTGTCCAGACACATACCGTAGCCTGTGTACCACAACTGTGAAAAGCTTTTTCCCTACGCTCTCTCCACTCTGCTTTTGTCTTACATTTGGGCCCAAATTCCAAACTGTCAGGCAAGGTTCCTTTGTCTCTCCTTCCACTTCTCCATGTTTAGGAGCTGAGTTGGGAAGAGCCCGTCCAGCAGAACTTGGGTTCCCATTTTCTTGAGAGCCCCCCCCCACACACACACACACATCATGACCCTCCTTCATGGACAGCTCACACTTAAGAATTGAACTGAGCTCAGCACTCTGGGGGCATAGGACTCGTGGGGCCTGGAAACATGGCAAGTGTTACTAGTACCAGTTTCACTTTTCGTTGTCACGATTTACTGTGCTTTTTACTGTTTCTGTTACAGTTTTGCTAATTTATCAGAAGGTCCAAAAGTTTGACATAATTTTCAGTTTGCATTATTTATTTATGATGCTTTTGTCATTGTCTTTTATACATTTGGGATTATAAATTATGTAAATGTTAAAATGAGCATCTCAAAGAAGTCTGTTAAATTGTGACCGAAAAAAAAAATCAATCGGGTGTCTTTTCAAAGAGTAGAGTCCTGGTTTATGAATCACAGGGTACACACTAGAAATTCTATAACTGACCCTAGAAGAAGGAGTCCATGATTGAAGAAATGCTGTTTAATAACACCTTTGTAGTGCAGGTCTGGAATGCCGACAACAGATTTCTTGGAAATGCTGCTCTCTATTTAACTAACATTTTGTTCAGTTTTGCCTCCAGTGGAAGCAGAAAAGGTTTTTCAGCTGTTAAATCCTAAAAAAAAAATCAATATAATTTATTTATGTAAAAAAAATCACTCAATCAATATATTTTTGAACCTTTTAAGTACTAATTTTCTTTTTATCAAGTAGAAAAAAAAGAAATGTATTTGCCCTAAATCCTTAAAATACAAATGCTATAAAAATTCCTGTATCTTGAAAGCCTTACTGCAGATGAGTATTATAGATGCGCAGCGGAGTCTGTTTCTTCGTTGTCTTGTGTTGTGTTGTTTTATATGGAAAGCTGCTCTCCCCAGGTTCCACTTAAACCTCCAGTAGGTCACAGGGTTCAATGTGGATCTGACTTAACCACCAGCATGCGCAATCCCTTGTTATATCTTATCGAACCTGTATGTTAACTCTCGGGTGTTTAGGCTTCTGTTTGACTGCTGTTGTGACCCTGTTTGCAAAATGAAACTGACACTCTGTGGATTATTTGCTCTGTAAGACATAAGTGCTTCTTATTATTATTTTGACGTTTCCAAGAGCAAAAGCCAAATTTAAACTCTCTTCAGCAAACTTGAGCCTCTTCATCTAATTCCATGTCACTCACAGCCATAACTTTTCTTGGTCATTCTTCACCTGTCTTACATAATAAACTGTCTGTGGTCTTGATCCTGGATTTAAAAAGAAAAAAGTTTAAAAATCAGATTTGTATTGGAGGGAACTTACTGACACTTGAATGTCTGACTGTCTGGGCATTTTATGAGTGTATTATGTGTATCCAGGACTCTGCTGTCTCACACGGGTGCCTGATTCCTGCTGGGCATCCTGCTGAGGGTGTATTGAAGACTTGTGAAGGATCTTCTGATCCATCTCTTGATGTGGTACCAGAGCACAGGTTAAACTGCTGTGGAAAAGTTGGCAGCGCAGCCTCCTGCCTCCAGACGTGGCCTGAAGGCTCTCAGTCAGAGGCATTTCTTTAAACCTGTACTGGAAGTCTCACTTCAAACCACACACTAAAACTTCTAAGGGAACTGGTCTGCTGTAGGTCGTGGGTTCATAAGACATGGGAGTACCTGGTCACTTTTTAAGAGATTAGTGTCTTAGCTATGGGGACACTAATACCTTGCATCGGAGGTTCAGGGACTTAAAGAACCAAGATCCCAGGGCATGCTGCCATGGCTGCTTGGTGGTCTGCATACAAGGTATCTGTGGCACAAAATGGGAAACAAAAGGTGAATTAAGTACTGACTCCAAGAAAGGTATTCCATGAGGTCGGTATGGAAGTGGAGGTGGAAGGTGGCTGTGACAAATTAGTGTTGCCCAAACAGCCCTGATGGCTGAGTTCTGGCCTGAGCCCTGGAGGAGAACATCAGGAGCTGAGATGAGAGGGAAGGAGTGGGAACCCTGGGAGAAAAAGGAGCAACACTTCCTGCCCTCCCCAAGGTGGTTTCCTCATCTGTGAACATAGGGTGGTTATAGATCATGTCCTAGAGGGTTTAGTGATGGGATTGATTGAAATGAACAAAGTCAAGTGCTGAGTCATTTTTGAATAGCCTGTGAGAGGATTACCAGCCCCAGTGGAAAGAGGGAAGTCAAGGTTGAGAAAAGGGCAAAGCAGTACTTGATTCAACTCTCCTAAGGCAAATTCAGAGGGGACCTGGGAGTGGACTTGAAGCACTGCAGGAAACAACCTTCTGGGCTGACTCCAAGGCACAGAAAGGTCTCCGGAATGAGGGACAGGGAGGGAGTTGAGTATACATAGACTTACCATGGCCTACCTAGAGTGCTGATGGCTCTGTTCTGTCCCCACAATAACCCTTTGCTATTAGCCCTATATCCATGAGAAACCTGAAGCCCAGAGAGAATAAGCAACTTGCTCAGTCACCCAACTGGTTACTGACAGATCTGGGCCTTGGGAATCCAGGATTGGTTCCAGACCTGTGAGCTGACCACAGGGGAGCCAGGATAGAATGGAAGCAGCTAGTCTGCCCTACAGTTTCATAAAATAGCATTGAAAGCAGATGAGCAAGGGAAGGAGGGGGCCATGCTGGTCATGTTGCCCCTGTGTTGCTGCTACCAGCCCTAAGACCAGTAGGAAGCCAGTTAATTTGAGAAATTTCTTAAACCTGTTATGCTGGTTTCAGGGGCCTCTGAGTGGGGACGTAACCTGGAGACATCTTGGTGCTTGGACTCAGCAACCTGGGGCCAAGGATCCATGTGAGAAGCTGCTTCCCATCTCAAAGGTGGAAAGGGATGCAGGGTTTAGGTACCTGCTCAGCTAGAAGAACCTCATAAGAGGAGCCCACAAAGGTGGGATCACATCTCACCCACCCACATCCTCACTGTGACCTGCTCCAAGCAGCTGAGCCACATGCACCACTGTAAGCTGTCACAGTATTTCTTAGTGCCTCTGCAGGTTATCGTGCCCGGCCTTGAGAGGCATGAGCTCATCCCAACATCTGGTTCCCCAGATGAGAACCCAGCCCAGGCCATCTTCCTTCAGTGGGTCAACCAGTGAGCAAAAAGGCAAGAATCTAGGAAAAGGTCTGATTCCAAAATGCAGCATCCTTGCTCTGGCCTTGGCTTTGTGCCTGAAGTCACAGGTCCTCATATTAGCTTCCTAGAGTAAAACCAGCCACTATAGCCACAGGCTAAGAAAGGACTTCACATTTATAAGTTATGGATAAAAGCTAAATATTTCATAGACGGAAAATTACACAATTTAAATTTTAATTGCCATAATAAAGTTTTGCTAGTGACAGCCACACTCATCCCATCTGTGCTTTTGTGCAGTAACTACAGTTGTCACAAGGGTCCTGTGGCTGTGAAAACTTAAAATATGTACTCCCCGGCCCTTGACTAAGAATGTTTGCCAACCCTTGTCCCACAACACCGATTTGATTCATAGATTCGGTGCAAAAGTTAAGTCAGAAGATGTACATATCATATGCTCTCAAACGTGGTTCTGTAGGAATATGAATCCTACAGAATGGGAGACCCACATCGGCTTTTAAGATAAAAGACTTCAAAGTAGCCCCAGACTCCAGGCAGGCCTCTTGAGGGTCCTCCTGCAAATCCCCTTCAGCATCATTTCACATTGGAGGAAAAGTATGCCTGCCCTGCCCTTTCTGCCTCAAGTTTTTTGGAGGGCCAGAGAAGGGCAGATTTGAAGATGCTGATGAGATGAAGTCATCAGAGAGAAGAGAAACTTCAAGGTACATGGAGACCATGGCTTGCTTGACAAGGAGAACCACATGCACATCCTCATAGGTGGTGGAGCCTGGCCTGCCAGCCAAGTGGACCACGGGGAAACCTCATAGGAACATGGGCCTGGCAGTTGATCCTGATGTTGTCTTTCCAGTTGGCACTCAGGCTACTGGAAAGCCAGGCATAGGTAACAGCCCTGGATCAAAGCCTACATCAGGTGCCCCGGGTACCCTTGCCATATCTGGCAAAGCCGAGCTCATGAAGACAGACTACAGAGGTTAAGAGATAACTCATCCCACTCCGGTCACAACCCACGGCCAAGGGCAACAAGCATACCCTCCAGCCAACTTGACCATAGTCGTCAGAGAGATGGCGAGCTGGCTTCCCAAAGGTACTGGACTCTGAAACAGCATGAAGGCTTCCAGGCTCTGTGGTGGGCCAAGCTGGCTGCACCCTACCCTTGGGGATCTGAAAGTTCAGCTGAAGGCCAAGACTGATCCAAAAAGTGATAGATCTAGTAGTCAGTGCCCTTCCTGACTCAACCCTGACTAGAAGGACTTGAGACAGTGTATGATACACCTGCTGGTCTCTGTGCTGCTGTACAGTGATGACAGCTACCAATGACCTCAGAGTAATCACAACCAGGAGAATACCACAGCATTTAAAAGGAAGATGGGGTTTCCCCCAGCTACAGCCTAGTGAACTTGCATCAGCCCTAGTGGGAAAAATTATAGAAGGAAGTTTTAGAGAATTTGTATTATAGTTCACTTGAGCTGCCATAACAATCCCATCACCTGTTCAGGGTAAACAACACATTTTTCCTATTTTTCCTACCATCTAGAGGCCAGAAGTCCTAGATCAAGATTCTGAAAGGCCAGTCTTCCTTCTGATGAACACTCTTGCTGGCTTGCAAACGGCTGCCTTACAGTAGGCCCGAGTGGACACTCCTCAGAGCAGATGTGTGGAGCGGGGAGAACTGTCTTGGTGCCTCTTCTAAGGATACTAATCCTGTCAGATTGAGGCCCCATCCTTATGACTGCATGTAATTTTAACCACATTCCCTGAGACCTCCCCCCCCAATCTCCAAATATAGCCATACTCTCTAGTGTCAGGACTTCAGTAGATGGACTAGGGAGGAGGGACTTAAACATTCACTCTATCATATTGTGTCCAGGGTTTACTCTAATAGCCATGAAGAAAGGATGCTTGGTATTTTTCATCACAATGGACAAAGTGGGGAGATGTGAATGTCCTCTATCTGAATGGCTGGGCACACAGGGCATAAGAAATAGGTGTGTTCAGGGCTGGAGAGATGGCTCAGCGGTTAAGAGCACTGACTGCTCTTGCAGAGGACCTGGGCTCGATTCCCAGCACCCACATGGCGGCTATGAACCGTCCTTAACTCCAGTTCCAGAGGAATCGGAAGCCCTCTTCTGACTTCTGCATTGCCCGACACAGGTACACTCACATACATGCAGGCAATACACTCATACACATTAAAAAATAAATAAAATAAAAGATAAAAAGAAACAGTTGTGGTCATCTAGGGAGAACTCTGTGGCTAACAGGCCCTTTGCTCCAGATACAGCACAGTTTGTAAGGTCAGGGGCCTACCACCAAAGGCAGATGAATACCTGGAAGACATGGACCAGACTTAAAGCAAGAGGAGGTGATGGGAACTAGAAACGTGACACTTGTTGCCCTGGCTACCAGAAGTAGGTTGTACCAGGAATAGCCAGTGGCTGCCTTACAGGGATGTGGGCTCTGTGTGGCCTGCTGTCTCCTCCAACAAAGCATAGAAATTCAGATATTTTAAATTCCCTGATATTTTTAAATGGTTTTACCTATTCTTTGAGAATTTTGTACATGCATACGATGTATTTTGGTCATATCAATCGCCACCCCACACTCTTCCCTGCACCATCTTCCAGACTCCCCACCACTTCCACATTTCCCTCCCAATTTCATGTCCTTTTTTAAATTATTTTATTATTTTTATTTTATGTGTATGCATGTATTGCCTGCATGCAGGTAAGTGCACCCATGTCATGCAATGTCCGAGGAGGTCAGAAGAAGCTGTCAGAGCCCCTGGGACTGGAGTTACGGACAGTTGTTAGCTGCCATGTGGGTGCTGGGATTCAAACCCGGGTCTTGGGCAAGAACAGTCACTGTTCTTAACCACTGAACCATCTCTCCAGCCCTCGTGTCGTCTTTTTTTTAAACCCACTGAATCCAATTAGTGCTTCTATGGGATCATCTGCTGGAGCGTGGGCAGCCTACTAGGAGTCACATCCCTGAAGCAAACTGACTCTTCCTTCCCCTCTGCATCCATCAACTGCCAATAACTTTTCTGCCAGGAGTACAGTTTTGTAAGCCCCTCTGCTATCCATACTGGAACCAAAGGTTGAGGAGGATTGTTGTGAAACACTGTATTCTGGACATGAAAGGGCTGTTGTACATAG